CGATGACGGACAGACACGCAAAGTTGATTCTGCGCTAATTTGATCTAATATTTAATGTTTTTAAAATGTTGTAGATTTATTATGTAAGTTAGCAAATGCACGGCTCGACAATAAGGACTGCCCGATGGCCCGGGAACTGTCACTTGCCCAATCGGGCCAGTGCTGTAGGGGTGTGCGATATATCGTCTATAACAGTGGTTCTCAATCTTGGTCCTAGGGGGGGCCACTGCTCTGCACATTTTATATGTCTCCTTTATCTGACACACCCACTTCAGTTAATAAAGCTCTTTTCTAATAAGCTGATGATCTGAATCAGGTGTGTTAAATGAGAGAGACATACAAACTATGCAGGGCAGTGGCTCCCCAGGACCAGGATTAAGAACCACCAGTGGCGCCTCCAGAAATTTTTCATAGGGGTGGCCAGATTGGGCCACTTAAAATCTTGGGGTGGCACACCAAAACTATAAACCATAATTTCAGAATTTTATTCTACTGTTGTAGTAAACCGGCCTGTAGAAAACTATCAGAAAGACTTAAGGAAACTCCTACTGATATACTTTGGTTTATTGTGTTATATTTAATGTTAGCTTACTAATGATATTAGTAGGGCCCTACTAATAGGCTATATATTATATTATATATAATGATATATATATTATATATATGATATTTATAAGGGCCCTCCCCCCGCAGCAAATTTCCAGATAGTTACATAATTGTGATGAATGTAATCCTTTTTAAGTTATTATTTTGCAGTGTAAGATTACAGTTAACACCTTTAAATATTACATAAATGTACTATGAATTTTTAATAAACTTAATGAGTGTATAAATCAACAGCAAAAAGTAATTCTTGAAAAAATCTGCACAGTAATTTTATAAAATCTAAATATGTTAATAAAAACAAATTACTATTAGTTCTCTTATAAAATTCAATCAGGCAATCATACATTTCACAATTTTATATTTATATATTAATATCAAGAATTCAGAAGTGCATATAGCCTACACTACAAAGAAATAATATACAATTAAATTATGCTTATTTTAAATGTATTGAGCAGGCTAGGTATAACAAAATATATTGGCTTTTAATAATATTTCAGTGCGCAAACCGATGATAACATGAAAAACAGAGCGCACACAGCGTGTATGCGCATCGCGGGTGCAGAATGATGTGCTCAAAGCAACATGGTGACTCTATGTGTGCAGCGCTGCGCTGCATAAGTGCGTATTTAAACGTTCACGTCACAAAGTGAAGAAATGTCGAGCGCACAAATCCTAGTGCGATTTGTTCCTTTGTTTCAGTTTTATATTCCAGTTATTGCGCGTTTGATGCCGATTCATAGTCCTTGTGATGTGTGTGATGATCTAGCAAGCACACGGTAGTGAGTCGTTTAAAAACAACAACAAACTCCAACAAAATAAAGTAATTTTATGCAAATATACAGCCTTTTATCTACAGATCATGCATTATAATGTGAATATATCATATTGGAGAGAGTTTTACCGTGCATCCAAGAGGCGCGCGCGCTGTTTGAATATGAATGGAGAATGATTGACAGCCGCAGAGGAGGGAAAACGAGTTTCCGTATACTTAAATGATGTAAATAGACTTCTGTCCCTCACATTAAGCTATGGAATGACTTCAGATGACTTTGTCACCCAAACTGACGTAATTAAGCGAGAGGCGCCGAAAAGCGCGCTGTTTCCATCCCTGCTTGTCAAAACGTGGCAAAGACACATCAAAAAGCTGCTGTAACAGTATACTATAACCATTTGGCACTTAAAAAGAACGTCACGACACATAATGCCCCGTATTCTTTTACTAAAGAATATTTTTGACTTATTTATGAAATGCATAACTGATGCTACTGAAATTTATTCTGGCCATTGGGGTGGCCAGTGGGGCGGCCACCCCCTGGTGGCGCCATTGAGAACCACTGGTCTATAATATCGTTATTGTTGATTTAACGATCTGACATCATCGAGTATTGTCCCTCACTTTACAAAAAAAAAAAAACACACCCATTGAGTGCACGCATTCACTACGCGATGTAACCTTAGGCTAGTAACGTTAGCTGCTAACGTTAGTTTAGCCTAGCACGCGTGCACCGTTAACTTAACTTTAACGTACATTTAACAGTTAAAGCGCACACTTTCACTGCGTGATTTAGTCTATTAAAATGCATTATGCCCCCAAATTCAAGATAAACGGGCAAAAAATGTCCATATGTCTTTTATATTTATATCATTTCATATAACGTTAGTTAACCATATTATTACACAAAAAGCGCCGTTTTCCCCCAAATATCAGCATGATTACAAATGTGACATTGATTTTATGCAACGTACATTTTAATAAACAAGTTAATATCAAGTGACTTACATTTAAGACATCAAATTGCCTGTTTCGCATCTCTGAAAAACACAGGACGGTTACTGAATGAATCCGTTTTTTGAACAAATCAGCTGAATCAATGATTTAATGACTCACTCAATAAGACAGTAAAATGCTTTATTCCTGAATGAATCAGCCTTTGAAAGAATCGGTTGAATCTCAATGACTCACTCATCAACAGTGACTTGCTGCCACCTCCTGGCGGGTTTAATTTCACATTTAAAGTATCTTTTCATTTTTAAAAGAATTTCTGCAGAATTTAACGTTTTAATATTTTCAACATTTCAAAACATTATACATCTTTAACTGCTCTTCGCCAATTAACTTTAATAAAGGTTGATCTATTAGTTATAGCCTACATTTAGCAAAAGGCACATGATAATAATAATAATGTGTTTAGATTCAAATGGTAAAACATGTATAAAAATAAACCGAAAATAGTACAAACTTTGCTAACATGTATTAACTTATTTTAGCTAAAGTATTTGTGTAAATTTTGCCTTTTGTCCCATGCTGGTGCCTTTTTCCACATGTGTTGGAAACCTTGCCACCTCATACATTTATAAGATTTTTAAACAAAAGCCACTTTCTTGATTTATTCTCATACAGAAACTGTTCCATCAATGTTTAATAAAAACAATTTTCTGCAATCACACAGTATAGTGTACTGTATCATGCACACTCTGATCCCTGAAGCCACCCTAGGTGTATATGACATTCTTCTTTCAGACGAATACAATCGGAGTTATATTAAAAAATGTCCTGGCTCTTCCAAGCTTCAATTTTTTAATAGGAGTCAATGGGTATATTTTTTCTTTATCATTGAGACAGAGACAGAACATTCTCATTCAGAACATTCAGAACTTCTCCAAAAGTGAACCCGCTCATTTTAGCCCAATAAGACCAATTATACATAACAAGGAAAAGAAAAAAACATAAAAAATCATGTTACAAAGTCAAACCATCAGCAGCTTGGAGAACTTTTTTAATTAGTTTTTTTTTTTTTTATGAAAACGAAAAGAGACAAGGTTAATTAACCTCTCAGTCATTCATTGCTAAGTCTTGTAAGTGTTGCATTTCTGAGCTCTATACTTCTGGTTTCCGTGTCATGGTCTTGATCTTCTGCCTATTTGCCTGTTTGCCTGTGCCTTGGACTATTGTTATTATCCGTTTCATTTACTCTGTATAGTTTTGACCTTAAGCCTGTTATATGGAATACGATTGTGGATTACCCTAATAAACTACTGCGTTTGGATCCTCAACCCGTTTTAGAGCAGTACGTAACATGTATATATTTTATGAGATAAGATAACATTAAGCTGTCATATGGTCATGTTACAATATACCCCACGGGGCATGTTAACACATTTCACTTCCATTCTTTCGGGGTAAATAAAGAAAAATGTATACACTATTAATGAAACAACACCACATAATTGTACTAGACAAGTGTACAATTAATGTGGGAAAAAATAAATACTCTGAAACCTAAGTGTATTTTGTTTTTAAACTATGAAAGTCAAAAAGTGTTAGGTTGTGCCCCGCTCTCATCTATACGAGCTTGTAATTCACTCGTCCTCTTCATCTAAATCGGTTTCTTCTTCAAACATATTGCTGAATTAAACCAGTATTTCCACTTGCCATTGTGGAGAGTTTACTACCGTAAAGCTGATTGGGTGAATTTGGTGTGAGTGAGTGGAGGCGGGGCTCATTTGGAAATTCATGAATCCTCATATACTAAATGAAGCAAGGGTGTAGAGTTACATTCAATCTATTTTAAGGCATGAATTTTAAAAAATCATAGGAAAAAAAACGTTTAAATATGTAATTTTGGTGATCAAAGATGAGTTTCAAGGGATACAATTATTGACCAGTACCATACTCTTTATAGGTACTTTTTAAGTAGAGACAAAATTTGAGCAATGTGTTGATTTGTCCTCAAGGTGTCACTATTGGGTTAGAGATCACACCGGTAGAAACAGCAAGGATTGCATGGCATTGGCTCACATAATCATTATCAAAACTTAACTATAACCAGAGAATGTCTAATATGTAGACGCCGGGCTTTGCTATAACTACTGAAAAGTTCGGAAATGCTCATACTGATGATCCACTAAGATAATTTTAGTGTCTTCCGTGGTTATAAGGCTTGTGCATCACTTTTAACTGTGTTTCTAATGTTCTTCTTATAAACTGCATGAAGAAGAGAAAGTGTTAATGAATTTATGTGCAATTGCATTATTTATTTTGAAACTTGTTAATTATTGTATGATCTATTTGACATGTTACATCATTATTATTTATTGTGGTTGGATATTGGTTGGGTAATTTCCCTGCTTGTCTTTGCCCTGACATGTCACTGCCTTTTTTACAGTCTATGGTCACTGCAAGGATTTCCAACAAGGTTAAAAACAACGTCACCCAACATTGACTGGCCACGCCTTGATATCTTAGACGGACGAATGAGAGTGGTCGACTTTTGTTAGTCCAGAAACAACAGCCAATCAAAATGGATTTTGCTGATCTTTGATTTGCATGTGTCCAATAAGGATTATTACTGCTCTCACTCATTACAGCTCTTAGGAAAATTAAATGCAACGCCTCACTCACTCACAGCGTCAGATTTAACCGGTGACAGCCAGAGACAGAAGACCTACGAGAACTCGTGTGGATTTCAAAAGGAAAGTTATTAAAGTCCGTGCTGGATTTTACGTGCAACATGACTTTTGAGGAACTTAATGGAGATTACTCTGTTGAAAGGTAACATTTATTTATATTAACATTTATTTGGCAATTCAGACATATAACATTATTATAGTAATTTTACCAATAATTGAATAAGGCCCTTATAAATAAACATCAACTATGTGAAATGAACATGATGATGTGGAACATATTAAATTAAGATATTATATCTCAAACACATGTACCGGCTCGGGTGAACTGTCAGTCAGCGGCACGAGCTCAGCTCACGAGACTCAGAGTCTCACGAGACTTTTCGCTTGTGATGTGCCGGATTTTGTAGATCTTTAAAATTTTGCTAAATTATTTTTGCTGATATTTTATCTGCTTGTATATGAAAAATATCGGCAAATTACTCACTTACTCGATCAAACTACCATATACTCGAATTATTAGTTTTCAACCGCCGCAGTCTTAGTGTAAACGGTGCACGAGCTGTTGCCATGCACAAATGTGCAATTATTAGTTTTCATCCGCCGCAGTCTTTTTGTGTAACGTTAAACGGTGCACGAGCTGTTGCCAGGCACAAATGTTCAATCGTCTCGACTTTACTAAAGTCGTATTAATAATGTATCCAAATTTTGTTTTTACAGGATGGATTCTGTGATTAAAGCTCTAGAGGAGGTCCTGCGCTCCGCATTACCGCAGGGATCTATTACAGTTGGGGTGTACGAGGCTGCAAAGTCACTCAATGTGTAAGTTTAGAGACTTTTTCAATGTTACTGGTTTTCAAAGTCATTGCAACAAGTGCAGTAGTTTAGGCTAAATAACAAAAATCTCAACTCTTCTGTTCAGGGATCCTGATAACGTGGTGTTGTGCATCCTGGCCACTGACGACGACGATGATGTGAAAGATGTGGCGCTTCAGATTCACTTCACTCTCATTCAGGCTTTCTGCTGCGAGAACGACATCAACATCCTGCGCGTGAACAACACGCGCCGCCTCGCGCACATCCTCGGGGGCGCGGGCATGCACGGGAGCGAGCAGATGGATTTGCACTGCATTCTGGTCACTGTAAGTGATTTTTGTTTGTTTGTTTGTTTTTACTTGTCAGGACAGGTCCAGGTGTAACTGCCACTGCATGACGTCCACAGGAACATCCTGCTCTGTAGCCTACTCATTCATATGCAAATAGAAGTGTCTTGACTTAATGTTCCAGGTTTCTATTTGCATTTTATTTTGAAATCAAATGAACAGCTGCCTCGGTATTCATCATTCTTAGATTCCTTCAAAAGACTTCGTAGGAAGCATTCAATAAGATTTGCATTCTCCCAAAATCACTGGTCATTTGAATTGTCATCTATTGCAGCTTGACTTCACTTTGATTCCTACACGAGATTTGTTTCGGGAGGTCAAGGGGTCAGACTCATTAATGGCCAATACTAAAATGCAGAGAGCAGGATGGCTGTGGTGGAAATAATAATGTTATATATATGTTTCACAAAAAAAATATTTTTAATCAAATGTGCACTATCCATAGACAGTGCAGCTGTCTGTAAGAAGAACTGGAAAGGACAACGCTTAGAAGTTACACAGCAGGACATGTTCTAGCTGATACAAACAGATTGTAATCCCATCTCTTCTTCTGATGTTCACAGGTTCCACATGCATCCACATGGAAAAACCCAGCTCTGGGAAAAGTGAACCACTTCTGCAGAGAGAGTCGCTGTATGGATCAATGGGTGCCCATTATCAACCTTCCAGAACGATGAGGACAGCTAAACCCAAGAGGGGAAAACATGGATAAAAATATCTAGTAAAAAAGATAAAAAAGGTGGTCGCAAAAAGGACTGATTGCCCAGACCGGCGGAACAAGGGACTGACCTTTAGTATAAACTGGAGGAGGAGCACCTTTTAGCAATCTGAGATGATTCAGCGCTTTTTGGCTTTGTTTGTGGGACTTTTTAAGGACGTCACATGAAGCTGATTGTGAATGGAAGTGAGCACCTGAGTATCTTGTGAGATAGTTTATTGGTGGGGTGTCATAAAGCACTTCAGTTAATTACAGGATGAAATATTTCTCAGAGCAACACGAAGCACTATTTTTCAAAGAGGCTGGCCTATTTGTATCTTTGCCATCGGTTTTGAATAGTATACCATCAGTACTTGTTTATTAATGTTTGAAAATAAATCATTTTAAAAAGGAGCTTGCTTCTAAACCACTGAGATGAAAACTATGCATTCACAGTATCCTGTTTGTTTTTTTTGTACATAAGTTAACTGTTCTTTTGTGGTCTTTAAATTATTTCTATTCTATTAATTTAAAGAGGTATTTATGTAAAAACTTTTTATACTATTATATGCAAACGTGAAAAAATGAATTTTGTGTTGTAATAAAAGTATTTTTTGAACACAATGTGGTAATCATGTGGGTTACTCTGTTGGAGGTTTCTGGACTAGTAGAACTGACCCGACAACACCAGTGGGGATCAGCGGGGTCACGCTGGACTCGGTGGCCTTCGTGAACTCCCTGTCACAGTCCGACAAAAGCCATCCAAGCCTTTCTTTTGTCCTGCTTTAGTTTGCGTGACCACTGCGTCTATTCATCAGATTCCCTTTTCAGCTGAAATGAATTGCTCAGGTTCAGCTTACTGTATCGCTTGCTCATGTCAAGGTCAAGCTTGCTGTCATAAATCAGTTTGCTCTTAATTGTGCTATGTGTGACAAACTGATACCACTCTGTAGGCCAAAAGTCAGTCACTGCGTAGCAAGACATTACACAAGCCCATCTGGAGAACGGAAGTGTCTCTAGTGGCGCCTCAAAAGTGTTTAGAAGGTGTGGTTGTGATCACATAACTGGCACATATTGGGTCAGGTTTCCAGACATCACATACCAGTAAATCAGTTGTGTAACCCACCACTTCCTACACAAAGGTTATGAAGTAAGGTTTGACTGACGTAACGGTTAGGCAAATGCAAGGCAGGTAAACCCCTGTCATGTGACATCAGAAAAAACGGATTTGCTCAAGGACAAAATAGCATTTCTCAAAGACAACTTACATGCTAAATATGTCTCTGCATGCAAATAGTAGATGAACCAAGCAATCCTGGTCAAAAGTCAGCTAGTCTCTCAACTTAAATAATGAATGCGCCTTTAGGTGTTAGTTCAGTTTTTTGACGTCACTAACAGGATTATTTTTAGAACGCAGGTACAAGGACCAGGTGATATAAGAGCTGTTTTGTCACAACTTACATCACTGCACCACCACTCCTTGAGCTCAGAATAACACACGCCACATTAACTTCCTTTACTAACAATCATTTGTGTCACATCTCTGATGGCTAAAATGAATTTTAAACATCATCAAGAATATAGTATTTACTTTAAAAATGATATTTTGTTATTTTAACAGACGTTCAAAAGTCTGAACTCTTAACTTTTTTTAAAATTAATACTTTCAATCAGCAAAGGTGCATTAAAAGTAAAGAAATCTATAATGTTACAAAAGATTTCTACCAAAAATAAATGCTGTTCTTTTGACATTCTATTCATTAAAGAATATTGGGGGGGTATGAATAAAGGTTTTCACAAAAAATATCAAGCAGCACAATTTTTTTTGAGCACCAAATCACGATCATGTGACACTGAAAACTGGAGTAATGATGCTGAAAGTTCAGTTTTGCAATCACAGGAATACATTACATTTTAAAATATATGAAAATGGAAAACAACTTTGGGGAAAAAAGTAGTGTTTTGTTTCCTTTGTGTACAATAAAGGGATAATTCTCCCATATGACTTTCTCCCATCTTTCTTTCTTTGAAACACAAATACAGATATTTAGCAGAATGTCCGAGCTGCTCTTTTCCATACTATAAAAAGTGGATGGAGTTACCATTCACTTTCAGGGAACGTTTACACAACAACGATGTACTAAAAACAGAAAAGTTCTTCTTTTGTGTTTACGAATCTGTGAAAACTATTAAAATCGCTGTATTATTAATGCTAGGCCAGTAAAATGGCGATGTCACTAAAGAAACATTATGCACCTGAACATGTGACATACACATACATGCACGTCACCATTTTCAAAAAAACGCATTTTTGTAGTTCACACGAAGACGATAACGGTCTCATTTTCGAAAACTTGCACTTTAAAATGAATGAATGTGTAAATGAACAGCCAAAACGCATAAAAACTTTTTAGTTTTTAGTCCGTTTTTAGTTGAAAACGGTGTCGTCTAAACGGCCCCTCATTCTATGAAAAATAACCGTATTTTCAAATGATACACTAATATAGTAAAAACTGTTTAAACATTAAGACTCTGCAAGAACACACATGTATGCGATGCATTTTGTTTTACTATTTCACAATTTTAATAAAATCTTTCTTTCAAGGTACAGTATGTATAGCACATGTTATGAAGGCTTGCAAAAATACAGAAATTAGAAAAAAACAAAACAAATAGAAACTATTTTCTTCACAGAGATACTGAGGTCACAGGGATTTGGTCTCAAATCTCAAATACTGCATAACTTCTGATGTCTCTAAAATAATACAGACATTGCCGCATCGATACATGGTTGCTCAGCCAATTCAAAGTGTGAATGTTAAAGTAACGTTTCATGGCTGCCCTGTTTGGAAAAAACCCATTCGACTCATAGACAAGATCAAACAGTAGTGGTCTTCGTTTCAAAATTGTGGCTTGACAGAGGAAAGAAACGTTTAAAACAGAAGGAAAGGGCACTTTAAATCTAAAGCAACATCAGAATAGAAAAGTTACTCAGGGACAACAGATAAAAAGTCTCATCTTTTCAGTCGTACGCATCAATAAGTAAGGATTGCTTTGAAAAATATAAGGCACATGTTTGAAAGTGCAGGGTGAAGGTATCAGCTCTCTTTTCTCATAAACCACTTTTCTCTATGGCTTTGCACATAGTGGTACTTGGGCCTTTCATTGAGAACAAATCAGTGTTTGTGTGATGTGATATCGCTTACTATATTGTTAATTTACCCAGCATGCACTTGGCCATTGGTGATTGCAGAAGCCACATCAAACACATTATCCAGTACGAAAAATGGATCTTTAAATTCCACTTATTTCAGTCAGTCCCTTTGCTATGACATTATTCATAGAAGCTACAAGAGGAATATTTAACCCACGTCTACTTATTAGACATTAAGAGGGATTTCAACAGTTAGTGTATCTGCAAGCTCTTTATATAATAACGTGATGACGATATCTTTGAAAAGTGTAACTAAAGGCACCATTCGGTGGAAAGAGGAAATTAATCACATAATTCAAGCAGTTTAGATGTTTTAAAACGGTGTTATTTCCTGGAATGACTTCAGTTTGGCCCAAACAACCAAACAGGCAACCAAAATGGCAACTAATTAGTACTGATTGGAGTTTATTTACAGTAATAAATACTGTAAGAGCTAAATATAGTTAAGACATGGCACAAAGTTATACTACGGAGCTAGAGCTGGACTTAAGGCAAAGTTGAGTAATTAAATAAGACGAGCATACACTACAATATAGTGCAGGGCTTTCTGTCCTTGAAGGGGTTTTCTGAGGCAGGGATGCCCATGAGCAGGGGGTCGTATTTGGCGTTTTCTCCACAGTAACGCATGAGATCAGCAGAGGCTTTGGATACCTGGATGAGACAAGTCAGAATGTGAAAAATCTTTATATTCATTTAACCATATAGTGCATGAATCATTAAAACACAAAGAAACTATATATCTTATGGTTTATTTTGACTTCAAACCGAGAATTTATACTTCCGTTCAAAAGTTTGGGCTCGCAAGGTTTTTTTATGCTTCTGAAAGAAGTCTAATGGTCACCAAGGCTGCATTTATTTGATCGAAAATACAGTTAAAACAGTTATACTATGAAAAATTATTACTATTTAAAATAACTGTTGTAATGTAATTTATTCCTGTGTTCAAAGCTGAATTTTCAGCATCATTACCCCAGTCTTCAGTGTCACATGATCCTTCAGAAATCATTCTAATATGATGATTTGATGCTCAAGCAACATTTCTGATTATTATCAATTAGGGATGCACAATATATTCACCACCATATTATTGGCCGATATGTGTTCATTTTTGATGTTATCGTTATCGGCCCGATAAGAAAATTTGGCCTATATATTAAAGCGATAAATAATGGATTTCCTTCAGCTGAGACACTTCAGATGCGCACTGTTCGCCATGTTGTTGTTTTTTTAATTACTTGAAAGATGATTGGAATCACTTCATTAAAAAGGAAAATACACTCAAGTGCAACATGCACAGCACTAGTCTGTCATACAGGCTACATACAATTTGAATGAGAACATTATAATTGTGTGCTTGGGACATGGCTTTTAATGGTGAGACTTTTGTTTTTGTAATCAGTCAAAAATTATATCAAAAATTGGATTTAGATTTATCTGCCAATATATTGATTATCGGCTTTCAAATATAAAGAATTTTCATATCGGTGCATCCCTATTATCAATGTTAAAAATAGTTGGCCTGCTGAAAACCATGATACATTTTTTTGTGTTTCTTCTTATTCTGACAAACACAAAGTTCAAAAGAACCCGCAGTTATTTGGAATATTTAATGTATATATGCTGAATAAAAGAAAATCTTTTTTTTTATCTTTTTTTTTTTATCTTACCGACCCCAAACTTTTGAAGGGTACATTACCATAACCTTTTTCAAAAACAATTTACTATCTCTATTACATCAACACAGTCATGCACATGAATCCTTACTGTATTGTACATCACTATTTTACCCCCAAAAAAGAGTGCTGTCAAATCGATTAGTCGCATTTAACATAAAACTTTGTGTTTACATAATATATATGTATATATATATATATATATATATATATATATATATATATATATATATTATTAAACTTATATATCATATATACGTCGGTGTGTGTGCATGTCTGTATATATGTACATATACTGTATATGTGTGTATATACAGTATATATACACACACAGAGACATACTGTATATAATATATATAAATTAGTAATGTACACACACATATATTATGTAAACAAACTTATGTAAGATGCGATTAATCACGATTAATCAATTTGGCAGCCAACTTTTTTTTTATAATAATGCATAATATTAATTAAAATATCTTTAAATGCATGGTGTTCAATAGAGTAGGCAGATGTATTTGCAGTTTTGGACAGTAAACCACACTCTTAAAAATAAAGGTTCTTTATTGGCATTAATCGGTCTATGGAGAACTTCACATTTTAAACTTAACACTTTCCATTGCACAAAATAATTTTTATAGTGGAAAAAGGTTCTTCAGATCATTAAAATATTATTTAGTTCATGAAGAAAAAAATGGTTATTTTGGGAAACCAACAAATGAATTAATAATGCCTGAATAAAAATGTTCCTTGTTTTTGATTCTATTAAAATGTACAGATCACCTGGAATAAAATATTATTTGGCGTTTCAACCACTATTGTCAGCCATGTTGTATTTATTTTTTGTTGTAAAAAAAAAAAAAAAAAGCACAAATCACACAAAAAGAGGATGTTCATCTTGGTAAAGGCTTAAAGGTGATCATCCATGGTGGTAAAAAAAAACACCTTTAAAGATCTGTTCACAGTAATGTGACACCAGCATCAGAGGGTTCATTCACAACAAAACATACCTTTATCCTCTCGATACTGGCCTCGACTTTCAGTTGCTGGACCATCCTCCTAGCATGTGTCAGGTTGTTTGAGCCCGCCATTTTAGAGGACATTTTTTTTACAACTGCAACAAAACACACAAAACGTGCAGTTATAGAATAGATGTCATAAAACACTTATATTTTGTTATATGCCAGTGTCAGAGAGCAGAACTGATGCAGAAAGTCATGACAACATCGCATTAACAAATCCTTCCTCCAAACTTGTCAAATCAACACCCAGGCCTATAGTTACAAATGAAATCTAGAGCAATTTCACAATAAAAAAAGCACAAAATGGATGCAAACGAAAACAGTCTTCCTAATATAAAAACATCTGACTGTAGTGTCATCAGTTAACAGGGACGTTCACCATTGGAGTGAATGTCAAAACCTTCTCAAATGCTTGTTCTGTGGAAAACAAATTATTCCCTGAGCGAATAATTTGAGTGGCTAATAGCAACCACAATTGAATTCATTATAATGTCAGATCTGTTATATATGCATTTCTGTCATTCCTTGCTTTCATTTTGAAATACATTGTATCCCTCTCATACAACTCGAACCTGAAAGACTAGAATCTTTTTGAAATGAAAGAATAGCTTCTTCATTCAAAGCAGGGGTTGGTCATGATGGTCAACAAGTTAAGATTTCCTCTTATTTGTTTTTTTTTATTTTTCATGTTTAACATTAAGATTATTTCAGTTTATAAAAATATATCTCTGCATTCTGTTCTCAGTCAATTTTAAATGCAAGAAGAAAGAAATGCATCTGTAATCAGGTCAGGTGAATTTAACCAGCATAATTACATAAATAATTCAAAAGTTCCTGTAACGTCTTACATAAAATGGGTTTCCAGTTTCCTGCATTCCCTAAAGACTGGAATACTTCTCGAGTGAAGGTAGTCAACAGCATCTATTGTCACTCATAAATACTAACAAAATACAAAAGGTTTATTTTCACTGACTTCTGGGTAAAGGAAGAGGAAATATTGCAGATATAGTCTGGAGTTTTAGGTTACTAGAACTTTTTTTTTTTTTCAGATGGGACATGTCCTACTTTACCTGGCTTGAGGAAGTTTGGCAGTGGCATGATGTCACACACTTACAAAACCGGAACAGTGTTACAGTGCTCTCTATCGGGAAAGCTGACATAATCACAAATGCTCCTCCAGAATATCCAGACCCCGGTCGACAGACTGTGTCACTTTACTAGCATGAGAAATCATAGCTGTTCCAATTAATGTTTATATGGCATTGTCTAACAAGGTAATTTTCCATTGATATTACCCATGAAGTCAGAGAGGAACATTCGGAAATCATTTATTATGGTGTAAATAAAATACTGGAAAGTTTAGGCTAAATATAGTAACGGAAGATACAAAGTATACACTGCAAGACACAGATAAGTGTGCGTCTCTTTGTCTGAGTCACAGAAAAGGTGCTGATGGCTTTATGTTCTGCATATACGGGGGGGTGTATGGATGCGTGTATGGGTGGTACACTTTTGGAGAGAGCACAAAACATGTCCCTGTCTGAGTGGTGACCTATTAGCCCTGAGGTCATCAACTGCTGCCACTACACAGTTTATTCAGCAGATGTTATCAGCTGTTCCTGCTAAATGCTCGCTTAGTCACATGATCTCCCGGTGACACCAGCACGCCCTGATCAACACACTGTAGAAATGCAGCTCATTCTCACTCAGCATGTACTATTGTGACTATTCAGCACATTTAGACTTGAGATCACCTGAAGGCAGCAAAAGAATTTTAGGTAAGCTCAGGTTTTATGCATTAAACTTGCTAATTCAATATGCAAAAAAAAAAAACATTGTATGAAACACAAAAATATTATTTAGTGTGCAAACAGATTTAAGAAAAAAGTCCAACGGCAATTTAATATACAAATATTACAACAACGTCATCAATATCAGTTATTTCTGCATTGAATGCATTGAATTAAGTTAATTTTACATTTCGAGGGAAAAAAAAGCAGGGCTGAAATTATCTAACAAAGTTTGAAAGACTTTTGGCTGCATTATTTGCACACGTTTAAGCAGGGCCGGCCCGTGGCATAGGCAGTATAGGCAAATGCTAAGGGCGCAAGCGCCTTAAACCCTAGGGGGGGCGCCAGAGCCGCGTAAGGAACTTTCCGCTTTTATTGTACTTAATTAACACTGCAACGAGTGGAGCAATTACATAAGCCTGCCAGTGGCGCAAAAAGTGGGTATACCGGTATGTGTAGCGGAGTAGGCGCCCTCATAAGATTTCATCATAGAATTTTGACAGGGGACCCCCCTCCAATAATATCGCGAGCGGGCGCGGGCGCCGTGAGCGCTGAGCGAACAGGCACGAGTAGTGAGTTGTCGTCGAAAAAGATAGATACAGCAAAAAAGCGGCCGGGGGCTAAAATAGAAATAGCTCATTCGTTTTGTTTTGTTTAATCGGCGGCGCTGGGTTAGTGCTGGTGTAATGCATTGGTAAAAAAAAAAGTTTTTTTTCTGACACCGCATGAAACGCGTAGATCAGCGGCCCATTGGTTGGTTTCTTGATTGACACTGGGCTGGCCCAATCACATCTTTAATGTGAAGTACAGAAAAATACTCTTTCTATTAGTATAGAAATTAGTACAAAACTTATGAAAGTTTCCTTTATTTTTCAGTGCATTGTTTTACAATGAGTATTATCATGGGATTAATATTATAACTATTATTATGTAATGTAGACAGACACTAACTAAAAGAGGTTTGAATTTTTCTTTGTTTAATTTGAACACTGAATATGGGTTGGAGCTTTTAATTTTGAACTCTCAAAGTGCACCAGATTGATGAAGTTAACATTAAAATGCACAAAATTTTCTTACGGGGGATCATGCCTTGCCTTGTAGCAGCCTAATGGATTAGTAATAATAGTAGTGGTGGTAGTAATTGTAATTTATCTACTACAAGTTACATGGTCAGATAATATGTATTTAAACAATGCAACTATGTAGGATGATTGAAATATCCTTGAACGTTCTTTTTTAGCATTTGTATAAACAATTTATTACAGTTCAAGTCATAATTTGCTTGTTGAAGTTTTGGAGTGACTGTAAGAGCATTTTTGTTTAGTTAAATAAATACTCATTATTTTTAAAGGAGAGGGGGGGGGGGGGGGGGGGGGGGGCGCAAAAATCAATCTCGCCTAGGGCAACCAAAGGGCTAAAGCCGGCCCTGCGTTTAAGGCTTCTCAAACAAGAGGCCCTTAGATGTCTTAAAGCTGGCATGCAATTTAAATTGAGATTTTCAAAAAATATTAATGATACTGTTTAAAAAAATTTACGTAAGTTTATGTAACAAATCTGCATCTGGAGAACATCTGTTGCATCTGGGTTTTACACTATGAAATGGTCATTTCATGATGAATGATTGACAGGCTGAGAGATGTAAAGATAACCAGCCTAATATCTTACAACCATCTCTCTTCCTCCAGGGTCTTCGAACAACTTTATGGAAATGTTCTTAGGTAGGGCAGAGGTCACTTCTACAGAAAGCGGTCTGTTAACCCCCCAGGGTCCAGTTCTATAGAAACAGAGATCTGCATGCACAGTCAAATGTGAAGTGGTTTCGAGAGCTGACAAACAGAAGCCAAAAAAGTTATTCTACAGATCGCAACAGCCTAGACAATTTTTCATATAACCACATCTATCAAAAGTACACTACAGACAGAAATTACTCAAAACTCTACCGAGGAATAAAAGTATGCACATATCTAATAAACATTCAGTGCAGCAGAATTCAGAATTTGTCCAGAACGAGACCGTTTTGAGTAGTTAGAAAGAACTTTGCCTAAACATTGATGTTATACCTAATTGTAATCCTCTCTTCATTTAAGATATGGATATACGAAGTAAAAATCTGACCAATAACAATAAGCTCAATTATTTTCATCCTATGGCCAATAACTGATAAATAGCCTAGCTTATCAAAAATCTGTATGTTTTGGACTAAATGCATTACTGCTTACATGTTTGGGTCGGTAAGACGTTTTAATGTGTTTGATGCTGAATTTACTTGATCAAAAATACAGTAAAAAGAAATATTATTACAGGTTAATATAACTTATTTTAACATGTTTTAAAATGTGATTTATTGTGTGTGTGTGTGTGTGTGTGTGTGTGTGTGTGTGTGTGTGTGTGTGTGTGTGTGTGTGTGTGTGTGTGTGTGTGTGTGTCGTGATACTTTTTGGCCATTATTTGATGAATATAAAGTTCAAAAGAACAGGATTCATTTCAAATAGAAACATTTTGTAACATTATAAATTATTTTCCTGTCACTTATGTTATGTTACTACATAAAAGTATTAATAATTTCATAACAGGATTGGCTAAGTATTATATTTAACAGTGTTTTTAAAAGTATAAGTTTTTAAAGATTAACTTTAAGTGAGCATTAGCCTAGATGACAACAAAAAAAGTATCTAAAAATAGAGAAAAATGAGCATGAACCCATTGTATTAAATTACTAAAATGACTGATTCCAATAAATTAATAAATATATCAACCTATGTACAATATGGTCCCAAAGCACTGTGTGTGCATTCCTGGTTTAATGCAAAGACAAAACAAACATCATATTCAATAAAGGATCTCTGCTAACTAATTGGGAGCATTAAACCATTAAAAGCATTGCAGCACAATCAATGTGGCCAGTTTGCTTTAGTATTTAACAACTATAATCTGATTTGCAGCCAGCAGCGTAAAGCACAAAGGTGATGTCATGCACTTGCCCAAGCATCATGCAGTATTAATGACTAAATCAAAAATAGCCACTGTGCAGTGACTCCCAGCAGATGGGAATATGTGAATAAATCCTCAAAAAAAAAAAAGAGCCAATCCACCCTGAACAACACAGGGCCAGGGCTACATAATGGGCCATTATCAGTCAACACCTGGGGCCTAAACAAACACCAGCTCTTGGAGATAATGTCTCACCTACGTCAGCATGTGTGTGGGCCTGATTACCAGGAGCTGTGTGTAAAGGTTTCACCCATTGGAAAACAAATAGCTTTGTCGTGAGGGGATGAACTGGTGCAGAGGTAGTTCCCAAAGTCAAGCAACCCACGAAAA